CTTTTCCACAGGGAGGTGGGTTTTAGGGATAAAATTGGTTCTAGATATTTTCAGGTGAGAGGCTTACATAGGGTATGACAAACATATTGGCCTGAGTATTAGGGGAATTATTATTTTAATGTGCTTGGTAGATTATATTATGTATATGTTACCATGGTTGTGTTTTTGTTTTTGCAATTTTATAACTTTACTTGACAATCAGCAGTTCTCATCCACATTAACTGTTTGAAGATTTTTGAATCTTCATCCTAATTAAGGTTTTTCTGGACAACTGTACCCAGATACAGAATGGGATGTTCCTTATTCCTTTGGCCCAGATAGCTTTGTTCAGCCTAGTGTTAAATGGTTACATCTGGAGTTCCCATCTCCATGGCAAATTTCTGGATCTCCTTGCGTGTCTGAGTGGCATGCTTCGTGAAACCTTTGCCGTGGATATGCCGGTGAATGTTGATGGTGTTCTCTGGTCACCACTGCGTTGATGGTAGAACAGCCCTTCTTACCACCACCCTTCTTTGTGGGAGCCATTATGCCCAAGTTAGAAAGAAAAAATGTTAGTAATAAAAAGTTGACAGATGGTCATTGAGAAATGTTTGAAATACCTTAAATAATTATTTAAAGGTTGGGTATGTTTTAATTCATAGCCTTAAACATGTAACAATTGAATGTGCAAAAGTACAAATAATTTACGAGCTGATCTACAGAACACTAACAAACTAAAGGAGGTTTAAAAGTGTGTCTGTTTGTAAAATTCAAAAGTGTAGACTTTGAGACAAGGATTTAATTGGCAAAATCCACAATGTGAGGAATTCTAAAGGACATATAACTGTTTTCTCCTACAAATAAATTGCAAGGGAAAAAAAAGAGGAAATCTGTTACAAATTTGAGATGTATTAACTAAATGTGGATCTTATTTAATTTCGACAAACCAATTGAGACAATCAGGAAATTTGTCCGATATTTGACATTAAGGAATAGTGGTTTTTAAATTATGGAAATATGTATACATTTTAAGTGAACTTAACTTTTCAGAGATACATGTGGAAATATATACAGATGTAATGATCTGATGATAGGGATTGGCTTCAAAATTAATCCATGGGGATGAAGAATAGATGTTATAGATGAGGTTGGATTAGTCAAGAGTTGCTAGTTGTTGAAGTTGCTTGATGGTTATGAGAGAGTTTGTTATACATTAGTTTGTATTTGAAATTTTTTATTTAGAAAGAGTCCAAGATAAATAACAGAATGGGCCAAGATCAGGACAGTTTATATTGTTTCATCAAGTTGGCGTGGCCAGTGGAGTTCAGTGGTTAGAGTTTTGGCCTGCATACTGGATGGTCTTGGGTTTGATTTTCAGTCAAGGGTACATACGTGGGTTGCAGGTCAGATTCCCACCCCTTCTACTTTCTTTCTTTTCTTTCTTTTTTTCTTTTTTTCTTTTTAAATATATTTTATTGATCCTTTTACAGAGAGGAAGGGAGAGGGATAGAGAGCTAGAAACGTCGATGAGAGAGAAACACCAACCAGCTGCCTCTTGCACACCTCCTACCGGGGATGTGCCCGCAACCAACATACATGCCCTTGACCGGAATCGAACCTGGGACCTTTCAGTCCGCAGACCAACGCTCTACCACTGAGCCAAACTGGTTTCAGCCCCACCCCTTCTACTTTCATTGTTATTCCTTTAAATCAGTGTTTCCCAAACTTTTGACATATGTATACCCCTTCTATAATTTTCATAACGCTGAGTACCCCTCGTACTCATGAGAACGTAGAATTAGGCTCAACTTAGCACAGTGCAGTGCATATCCCCACCAAACTCCGGTGCAACGTGTACCCTCACCAAACTCTTCCCGTACCCCTGGGGGTACACGTACCACACTTTGGGAAACACTGTTCTAAATGTCACTATGTCTTGGTAATCTTCCTTGTTACATTCAATTAGTTTTCTTTTACCCCATAGTACACATTTATTGCATCTTGCAATGTTGGCTTGTATCACAATCATTGCTAAATTTGTAATTATTTAATGTTTGCTTATTTTGCAAGATTTTAAGCTCTATGAGAAAAGGAATGGACTTCATGTAGCTCACTACTGAAATTCCAGGTCTCAACTCAGTGATTTATGAAAAAAGAAATCTGTAATTGGGAAAAAAATAAATTTGTTAAATTGAAGGGGTAGGAGAAGAAGAATTCAGGAGTTCATGGAGGATTGAAAGCTTGTCTGAAATCTGCCAAAATGCACAAAACTTATTTCTGTTTCAGAGATAATCTGGTTTAACACAAAAAGGTTAAGTGTTCATTCTTCAGATTATAGGGATGAATTGGCAGTTTAGAATTGGCTCTGGCACATTTGTTTCCTATTACTACAAACCTATAAAAAGCTGATGCAACCTAGTTAGAGTGACAAATACAAACTGTTGTGTGTTTTATTTATTTTTTATTTTTTTAATTAAATTTTTTTTTTTTTACCCATTCTCATCTGAGTTTTGTTTTCCAATTAAAACATATGGGATATTTCCTCCATCTTTAAATTTTGGTGGAGGGGGAGTAATGTCATTGAAGTTATGGCTGAACACAATGTCTATTCTAATATAACCACTTGGGTTTTACTATTTAGAGTCGAACTTCCTTTCAGATGACTATGAAACCCAACCCTCAAGAAACACAGGATTCTGTTGCTAACTGAAAACACCTATTTCCTGAATTAGTTTGCCTCAGGGTTTTTTCTTTTCTTTTTACTTCTCTTTTCCTGTCCCCTTTTATGTCTTTTATGATATGGAATTTAAATCCAAAGTTATATTTATTTTATTTTTTAAAATATATTTTTATTGATTTCAGATAGGAAGGGGGAGAGGAGAGAGAGAGAGAGAGAGAGAGAGAGAGAGAGAGAGAGAGAGAGAGAGAGAGAGAGAAACATCAATGATATGAATCTGGTACCCTTCAGTCTGCAGGCTGACTCTATCCACTGAGCCCAACTAGCGAGGGCTAAACGTTGTTCTAATATACATACTATACTTTGCAGTTATGATTACATCATTTTATGAATATATCCTGTGAGGAAGATGCTGCTGTCATTTTTAGAAGTCAGTTTACATTGTCAGACTGTATACATTTTTTAAAAAGTGAGAACTTGGTTTCAATTTGTCTTCCTGCTCTTTCCCCTATTTGTTTCACACTGCTCTTGAGCTAAGTAGTGAATATTGGTATCTATATTTTTTTATGTGACTTTCAGAAATGCCAAGATTTTCTATTGTCCTATCTAGCAGCTATGTGCTTTGATGTTTGGGGATATCAGTTTTACTTACTGTATTCTATTAGTTTTATAAGGCATCTAAAGAATCTGGAAATTACAGAATTTAGATGCCTGACTGGATTGGACTAGAAGTAGGCTTGCAGCCAATATGGAAACAGATAATTGTACTTAAAAATGAAAGTATCGCTGAAACCGGTTTTGCTCAGTGGATAGAGCATCGGCCTGCAGACTAAAAGGTCCCAGGTCAATTCCGGTCAATGTCATATACCTTGGTTGCAGCACGTCCCCAGTAGGGAATGTGCAAGAGGCAGCTAATCGATGATTCTCTCTCATCGATGTTTCTAACTCTCTATCCCTCTCTCTTCCTCTCTGTAAAAAATCAATAAAATATATATATTTTTTAAAATGAAAGTATCTTTTAAAAAATTATCCTAAGTTTTGCGCAGTGGCAGTATGGTAGCCAATGAGGTTTATCCAATGGCGTGATTATTGCTTAAAAAAAAAAAAAAAAAGAAGTATCTTGTCCTAGCTGGTTTGACTCAGCAGATAGAGCATCGGCCTGTGGACTGAAAGGTCCCAGATTTGATTCCGGTCAAGGGCACATGCCCAGGTTGCAGGCTCAATTCCTAGTAGGGGGCGTGCAGGAGGCACCCAATCCATGATTCTTATCATTGATGTTTTCTTTTTTCATTGATGTTTTTTTTCTCTCTCTCTCTCTCTCTCTAAAATCATTAAAAATATATTTTAGAAAATAAATCCATATAAAAAGTATCTTTATAGCTTTTGCTGATTCCATCAAGATTACATAATTGTGTAATACGGGACTCTACCTGTGAACGAATTTCATGCACTGGACCTCTAGTTTAGTATAAATGTTGCTGCTATAGACACACACACACACACACACACACACACACACACACACGACATGAAGACAGACAGGAAGAACCCCATATGATTACAGAGGTAAAGACTAGAGTGATGCATCTACAAGCGAAGAACACCAATGATTGCCAACAACGCCAGAAGCTAAGAGAAGGCACAAGACACATTCTTTGGAGGAAGCATGGCATTGCTGACACCTTAATTTTAGTCTTCTAGCTTATATAACAGTGAGAAAATATATTTTTGTTGTTTTAAGTCACCCAGTTTGGGATACCTTGTTATGGCAGCCCTGGGAAGATAATACAAACTCCATAAAAATAAAACATTGGCTCAGAAAAAGAATCAACTCAAGCGAAAATGAAATGACTGAGTTCTAGCAATGCAGGGTGAAAAGATTGGCAAATCATCTTTCCCCAAAACAACTATAAACTGTATACAGTGCTTACTGCAAAACAATTATTTCAGAGCTTTGGAATAGACCAAAGGCATACAACAAATTTGAGGAGCATTTATTTAGTAAAAATTGCTGAACTTTGGGTAAGAATAGTCAGAGTCTAATTTTGCTTTAACATGATAACCTGTGGCCATTATCATTCTAAAAGTTTTCATTCCAAAAATATTTAAACACACAAATTGCACATGAGGATATTCTCATTGCAAATAGCAAAATGAATTAAATGAAACTCCACATTGATTCCCTATCCTCTAATCTCATCTCTCTTTTGACATTACTGTATCTATATAGAAGCAAATAATTTGGCTTATGATTTTTTTGATATTTAAGTAGTCATATTAAATAAACATATTTTTAAAAAGTTGCTGCTACTCTTGGGATTTCACTCAGTTTATTTCCTTTTAGGAGGCGCAGGTCAGAATGGAGATGGGCTGCAGACCGCGCGGCTATTGTCAGCCGTTGGAACTGGCTTCAGGCTCATGTTTCAGACTTGGAATATCGAATTCGGCAGCAAACAGATATTTACAAACAGATACGTGCTAATAAGGTAAGGGATAAGTGTCTGGTCTTTTTCAGTCCAGCTAAAAACTACCATTATACCTTTTCTGCTATCCCTCGATGACTTAACTATGTCCAAGAGAATGGTTTAATATGATCTGATACAGTGGTTTAATTTGTTTAAGAGCCTGACGTTGCTTAGTAGAGAGCCGATAATATTAATAGATACATTCTGGTTTTCTCCGTAACTAAGCTTCCCTTGCTTTCTTGAAGCAAAATAGGGTCTTTCCTGAAAAGTTGTTCAGGCAGCATTAGACATTGATGGTTAAGATTTTTATTTTCCTGTGCCCTCCTATCTACAGATAGCTGATTATTAGTGCACACTTTTATCTTTGACAGCGACACTGTGTGCAGTTTTTCTTCTTAAATTCAACTTAGAAGAATTCTCTGCTCAGTTTGGCTTTGATTGAGGGATAAGTGTACATGGAATATAAATCCATTCAACAAATAGTTGAGTGCCTACTGTATACCAAGCACTGTTCTCCTTAGTGAGGTTACAGTGGTAAATAAAAATTCTACTTTTGTGAAAATTAAATTCTTGGCAGGGTATTTTTTATTTTTTTTGTATTCGTTTGTTGCACACATGGGTCTAGATCAGCTGTCACCAACCGCTGGTCCTCCCCCCAGCCGGTCCCTCCCCCAGTCCTTCCCCCTGGCCAGGTGGTCCACGAGGTCTAAAAGGGTGGCGACCGCTGGTCTAGATGAAGAACCTACTGCTCCTAAAAATAAGTGTCATGACATGTTTTTGTCTTAGTGCTGGTCAAAGCCCTCAGAAGACTGCTGTGCTGTGCTTCTGTGCATTAAATTAATGAAGGCCAAAAGTTAAAGGATGACCAATTGACAAGATAAACAAAATGATGAGAGTTTGAAGTAAAAGTTTTATAGCCCCTCAACCCCTTTACGTTTTTATTTTTAAAATTCCACTTCCAGCTTCTTTCCAAACGGTCTATATAAATAATTCTCCAAAAGTTCAGTAAGACATGTTATATTGAGGGCAAAGTCCAGAGGACTTACCTTTTTTAAAAAAATTTATCCCTTTAGAATAAAGAACAAATAAAATCCTGACTAGTTTAAAAATTAGTTGGAGCAAATGAAGAGTTAAAACTAAAAATATTCCCTAAGGGTGGCGAACATTCTGCTTTCTTCTGCTCTTCTTCACAAGGGAGATTCAGTGAGATTGTATAACGTGAGCTGGAATGATGGTAGAAATGACTGGCGTTGCCTATCCTGAATTTAAAAAACAACAACAGTTTTGCATGGTCAGGAACTTTAGTGTCTGTTTATAGCCAGTAGTTAAGTCGGAACTTCCATATTTGAGAACAAGAGTCTCTTACTAACAACTGAGATTAGTTACAATGGTAATCATATTTGTTGCCTTTTTTATATATACGTTCATAAATATGTGTGTTTATATGTGTGCATAAGCTTTGCTAGTTGTTCCCCATTTTAAAATTACTATATTTCATATACTTGAAGATGCTACTAATTGTAAGATGCACCATTATTTTATGTGCCATTAAAAAACGATTTCAATTAAACCAAGACATGTCATCAATTGTTAAGATACATTCTGATTTAAAAGATGTTAAGATGTGGGAAAATATGCCTTAGAATTGATGAAAAACTGTGTTATCAATTCTTAGGAAACTTGCAAAATATAGGGAAATATGAAAGAGGAAAGGGGAGGGCACCTTTCTCTTTAAAAATTTTTTGAAGTAAAACTTTATTTCTATTTAAAAATGCTCCAGATATTATTAAAAGGCCGGATATAATATAAGATCCTACTGAGTTGTATCTGTTGGTTTTCCCATTACTAAGGTATCAGTTTGATTCTTGTTAATGAAACACCCCCCTGATAATTCTTAGTGTCGTGTTGATTTCCTCTTTTCCCCCGTATTTTTTCATAAATGGACATCAGCTCACAAATATAAAAGAATGTATTGCATTATTCTTGAAAACCAAGTCCAATGATTAGCAGTATGAGTAGCTGAGATCATGATGTGTGTCTTGAGCAAAGACTGGTATTAAATGCAGCTTTTTCAGAATAGAAACCAGTGAACACCCTTCAAGACGAAACACCCCTTTCTCTCAGTTTTGCTGTAACCTAAAACTACTCTTTTAAAAAAGTCTTAAAAAGACATCCCAGTCGAAACCGGTTTGGCTCAGTGGTAGAGCTTCGGTCTGCAGATTGAAAGGTCCCAGGTTCGATTCCGGTCAATGGCATGTACCTGGGTTGCAGGCACATCCCCATTGGGGGGTGTGCAAGAGGCAGCTGGTCGATGTTTTCTCTCATTGATGTTTCTAGCTCTCTATCTCTCTCCCTTCCTCTCTGTAAAAAATCAATAAAATATATATTAAAAAAAAAAAATCCCAAAAACAAAACCCATACTCAACATTTGGGCATGTTTTAGGTCACTGTTAGCTTTCTATGCATATAAATAATTTCTTTAAATATAGTCATTTACATTTTTCTGTTATTTTTGGATGATATTTTTACTGACTATATTTTATTGCCCTTCTTGGTTGATTATTTCATTAATGTACAGGCATACCTCAGAGATACCACGGGCTCGTTATAAACTACCTCAGTAAAGTGGAGGGTCTTCTTGCTTTTACTTTGTAAAAACTTCAATATTTGTGAACTGCAATAAAACTAGGTATGCCTGTATTATTAAGCATGCACAATAAACATTTTCACCTATGTCACAGTATGAATATTTTTATGTTCTTTATGCATGCTTGAAAGAAGTTTTTTGACTCAGTTTACAGTCTCATTAGCTATATAAGAAGATAGTCTTACTTCATTTTTGGTTCCTGCTTCATTCTTTAGCTCATAATTCAGTTGTAATATCAGAGTAGTTTTGGGAAACTTGCAAAAGTCTTAAATATTTCTAAGTATCTGGAAAGTAATTGTTTGGGAATTTTGTGTATATGTTTATTATCCAAGAGTTTTGTCATGAAGGGCATAATATATTAAAGAAGCCCAGACTTCGACTTGGTAATCTTTGGTTCTATTTCTGCCTTTGCTCCTATATCTATACTAGAGGCCTGGTGCACGAAATTTGTGCACGGGGATGGGGGTGTGTGTGTGTGTGTGTGTGGTTCCTCAGCCCAGCCTGCACCCTCTCCAATCTGGGACCCCTCAAGGGATGTTTGACTGCCCATTTAGGCCTGATCTCACCGGCATTGGGCCTAAATGGGCAGTCGGATATCCCTCTCACAATCCAGGACTGCTGACTCCCAACTGCTCGCCTGCCTTCCTTCCTGATTGCCCCTAACCACTTATGCCTGCCAGCCTGATCACCCCTTAACCACTCCCATGCCAGCCTGATTGATGTCTAACTGCTCCCCTGGAGCCGTTTGCCCCTAACTCTCCTCCCCTGCAGGGTTGATCGCCTACAACTGCCCTCCCTTGCAGGCCTGGTCCCTCTCAACTGCCCTCACTTGCAGGTCTGGTGCCTCCCTACTTGCCCGATCACCCACAACTGCCCTCCCTTGCAAGCCTGGTCCCTCCCAACTGTCTTCCCCTGCTAGCCATCTTGTGTCCACATAGGGGCAGGATCTTTGACCATATGGGGACAGCCATATTGTGTGTTGGAGTGATGGTCAATCTGCATATTACTCTTTTATTAGATAGGATAGAGGATGAGTGTATGGGTGGGGGCCAACTGGTTTGCCCTGAAGGGTGTCCTGGATTAGGGGGCAGCCTGAGCTAGGGGCCCGTGGTGGTTTGCAGGCCAGCCACACACCCATCGACCCAAGCGGAGGCCCTGATATCTGGGATATATTTACTTTCTACAATTGAAACTTTGTAGCCTGGAGTGGAGCCAAGCCTCCTGCTCGCTCAGTGGCAGCAGCCGTTTCTGTTTGGATTTGTTTACCTTCTATAATTGAAACTTTGTAGTCTTGAGTGGAGGCTTAGGCCGGCAAGGGCAGGCAGGTATGGTCTTAAATCCAGATTAGGTAAATTCTGTTTCTTGTTTCCTGGGAAAAACAGATGTTAAATGGAGGTAAAAATTTTCGTTGTCCTTAATGCCCCTCCCCCCTTTCATCTCCATGGAAATTTTTGAGTTAGAAAGGACCTCAGGGATAAATCATTGGTTTATTGGCTCACAAGAAAGAGCCTGCCAATTATGATGGCCTAGGGAGGCCAAATTGATGCAGTCAAAATCACTAGCTCCTGAAATCTGTATTTTAAGATGTTATCTGGAGAATTCTGATGCTGTATCAAGACTGATCAAGTTTTTTTGTTTGTTTTATTTTGTTTTTTAGTTTAGAGTTTATGTTAGGGAAGCTATTTAAAAATTCAGCCCTTTTCCCTAGAGATTCTGAATAGACTTGATATTGGACCTGGGTAGGTATCATTTGTTAAGTTTCCCCAGGTAATTTAATACAAAATTTTTGTTAAGGTCTTCTTATCAGTTAGATTTTTTTCATTTTCTAGACCAGAGAAAGAACCAAAACTACAAAGCTCTGATCACTTTCATCAGTCTTTCTTTTACACAACAATGTAACCTGATTTTGGTCAACTTTACTTGAATTCATAGGAGGAGGATTCATTTGTGTGGTTTTTTGTTTTTGTTTGTTTATTTTTCATAGTAAGCTAACTTATGCTTTCACCAAGTTGAAACCATGCTGATTATTGAGAGGATTTTAGTGTCATGTAAATTGGGTCTTTTCACATGTTTTGTTTTTTAATTTCCTGGAATGAATGTATTTTCTAAATTTGAATTGTCACGCAGGAAACTAATCTGGAGTAATATTTATGCTTATGCGAAACAAGTGCTTTTGGAATACCTTTTTTTTAAATCTTGGTTTCTATTATAGGAACTGTTCCACCTTTTTTCCATTTAGTAGTTTTGGTTGCTCATGATTTATTATAGCTCATCCTATATAATAAAAGCGGGATATGCCAAGTGTCCAGCCATCTGTTTGGCCATTCAACCAATCAAAGTGTAATATGCTAATGATGTGCTAATGGCTTTCAACCGCTCACTATGACATGTACTGTCTACCAGGGGACAGACACTCTGATTGGTAGGTTAGCTTGTTGCTGGGGTCTGGACTGAGCAAGATAGGCTGGATATGCCCTGGAGCCTTCCCATGGTCCCTCCCTAGCCCCGATTGTGCACTGGTGGAGTCCATGGGCTTGGCTTGTGTCCTCTTGCAATCCAGGACCCCTTGCTGGATGTCTGAGTGCTGGTTTCAGCCTCATTCTGCAGGCTAGGCCTAAGGACCCCACCAGTGCACAAATTCATGCACTGGGCCTCTGGTTATTTATAACTGTAGCACTTCTAGTTTGATAATACTTAAAGCCACATTTGTGATCAAGTAAACTAAAAAGGCTGCATTGCTGCTGTTAAAACAGTATAGTTTGGTTGGTAATATCATGTAAAGTACCATATACTGTGATAAAGATTCCAGATCTAAAAGATGCTAAATGGTAATAAGCCATGTAGGCTAAAGCATTCTAATGGAAGAAAGCAGAAGCTTGGGTCTGAGTCTCAGACCTTACAGCTAGGCTTTTGTGGAAATAATTCTTGGAAAAGCATAGCATGAAGGAAAAGGCCTCTGGTAAACCAGCCCCCTTCTCCTAACCCTTTTGATATTAACTTTTTAAATTAAATTTGTAACTTTTAATACCACTCACTTGCGCTGTTTTTTTCTGTTTGTTTTTTAGGGGTTGGTAGTTCTTGGAGAGGCGCCTCCTCCAGAGAATGTAACAGCAGACTTGGTTCTTAGTTCTGAGGTGAAGACAGATCATGGGAATGATAAATTTGTAAGTATAAATACAGAAAGGGGGGAATGAATGCAAATTTGGGGTGTAGCATGAACACACTATTTTATTAGAAGGATCCTTGCATTGGCTGGAAGAAGGATAGTTTATCCCCTTTTATCTTTTCAGCATTTAAATATCTGAATTCCTGAACATGGCAGTACATAGCTTCTCCTGCTGTTGTGTAGCTGACTTTAAGAGTTCAAAATTAGCCGAAACCGGTTTGGCTCAGTAGATAGAGCATCGGTCTGTGGACTGAAAGGTCCCAGATTTGATTCCGTTCAAGGGCATGTACAGTATATTGGTTGCGGGCACATTCCCGGTAGGGGGTGTGCAGGAGGCAGCTGGTTGATGATTCTCTCTCATCGATGTTTCTGGCTATCTATCCCTCTCCTTTCCTCTCTGTGAAAATCAATAAAATAAAAAAATAAAAAATAAAAGTTCAAAATTATCTCAACTCAAGACAACACTCAGCCAGAGCATTGAGGCATTAGGGAGGTTACTGGGAATCAGGAAAACACATGGCTCTGGCATATTTGACAAGAAAGAAAGGAATCTTTTGGACCAGTATAAAATCAAAGATTGGACTGGGGGTTTAATCACATGCTGCATGCTCACGCTGGGTTATCCCTTTTAATTCAGTAACAAGGATAATGCTGTCATTTTCTGTAATCTTCTGGGTCCAGTTTCTCTCAACACCAAGGTTAATTTTTTTTCATTTGACTTCCAAGAATACTTTTTGTTTCTTTCACTTTTTTACTTCTCTCAGAATGTCACTGGTTTTTATGAATATTTGCATTTCTTGATTTAAGTAATTTGTTAGAAATTCCAAAGTCCCATGACAATTATTTGGGAGGCTAGTAAGCAGGGCCTGCTCTCTAAATTGTGGGTTAAACCAGCTTATCTTTCATCTGCAGATTAGCAAAGCTTGTTATCCTTTATCATTGTCATTGTTAGCAGAAACTCATATGATATGATGTAAACTAACTTTCCTAATGAGAGTGCTTAAATAAAGTCAGCCACTAATAATAGGAGTAAATGCAAAGACATTTAGAGATTGGTTGATGGTTCTTAACTGGAAAATAGTTTTAAATAAATTAAAGAGCAGATGGAGGGGCGGGGAGGGTGACATATATGATATTTTCAATAATAAAGATTTAATAAAATAAAAAAGTAGAATGCCAAAATTTGCCACTAGTCAATCTACAGAATATTTTTTTAAAAATCATTTGTGTATGTATTCTAGTGATTGTTCTAACCAGGATAAAACTTGTTATAGATGAGAGAGAACATAGTGTCTTGGAAGGTCAGCTGGTTGTATATTATTTATTGGAAACATGAGACTTGAAGCATATGTGATTGGGAATTAGTTTTGTATAGACATTTATATGTTTGTGTATACTATATAAAGATTCCAAAATTTTTCTGGTGCTCTCTTGTACTCAGCACTTGTGAGGATAACATATAACAGTGTCATTGTGTTATTCATTCTCATTGTTATATTTATACACATTCACATATGTGCACATGTGTGCTCCATTTATGGACTTGTCCCTTTTCTTTTTTTAAATATATTTTATTGATTTTTGTACAGAGAGGAAGGGAGAGAGATAGATAGAAACATCGATGAGAGAGGGTCATCCATCAGCTGCCTCTTGCACACACCCCCACTGGGGATATGCCCACAACCAAGGTACATGCCCTTGACCGGAATCGAACCCGGGACCCTTCAGTCCCCAAGCCGACGCTCTATCCATTGAGCCAAACCTGTTTCGGCGACTTGTCCCTTTTCCTACCTCGTCACTCACTTGCATGTGTATGATCCATATTAGATTGTAAGATTCTTGAAGATCAAGACTATCTTTTTCATTGTTGTTGACCACAGTAGTTTCTACATTGTACAATAGATTGTGTTTTGATTCATTAAAATTGATAATAAATATGAAAACAAGTATACACTATCACTCTGTCTTCATGGAGAGGTTAATCTTTAGAAAATGCCTTTCTGGAGAAAATAAATGCATACAGAAGGCATTACATTTCCATTTTATTTCAGGGATCTTCAACTGTTGTACCCCAAGAAATTTTTTAATTGCTATTTTAAAATTATTTTTAATGTATTTTTATTGATTTCAGAGAGAAAGCGAAATGGGGAGAGAGATAGAAACATCAGTGACGAGAGAGAATCATTGATCGGCTGCCTCTTGGCATGTCCCCACACTGGGGATCAAGCCTGTAACCCATGCATGTGCCCTGACTGGGCATTGAACTTCAACCTCCTTGTTCATAAGTTGATGCTCAAGTACTGAGCCACCCCAGCGAGGCAATTACTTTTTTAAAATGCCAAATATTTGCCAAGCATGCCTAATATGTCAATTGCTACACAGTTTTTCATTGTAGGAGGGCACAGTTTAATTTTCCTTTTTGTTATCCAAATTGGTTGGTTGTTTTTTTTTTAAGTGATTTGTACATTGACTTCTCAATTTTGCTTTAAAAAAATGTTAGGTCACATTTGGCAGGGGCAGTTATAAATTTTCAAACTCACATTTAACGTCCCTAGTCTCCTTTCCCCCTACCCCCTCTAAAATAGAACTATATATTACTTTCTTCCTCCCCAGTTTGAAGACTTGTCATTTAAAAATATTATCAAAGGTACATTTTGTTTTGTTGTGTTGCTTTTTATATTTTCATTTCTGAAACTCACTGGGATTAACAACAACAACAAAAATTCCAGAATTTTTTTTTTTTTAACTGTCAAAATATAGTTTCAAGAAGTTAGACATAATTCTCAAAGAAATACATAGTAATTGATTAAGGTAGGAATGTTGGCATAACTGGTAACAGTATGTTGGTATAGATACTGATTTGTATATGTAATTATTGAAAGGGAGAGTGCTGAAAATAAGATTACTCAGTAGCATCCAAACTTTATATCCTGCAGACTACTAGAGCCATAACCTTTGGTGTTATGTTTTTACCTAAACCCAAATCAGCCCTCTCCTTTTTGGCTCAGTGGATAGAGTGTGAGCCTGCAGACCAAATGGTCCTGGGTTAGATTCAGGTCAGGGGCATATACCTTGGTTGCAGGTTCCTCCCCAGGCCTTAGGCCTGGTTTGGGCTTTTGCAGAGGTAGCCAATTGATGTGTTTCTCTCACGTTGATATTTTACTTTGTCTTTCCCTCTCTTTTCCACTCTTCAATGGGGAAAAGTTATCCTCAGGTGAGAATTAAAAAGCGAACACAAATTCATTTTAGCTTATTAATATTTTAAATATATACATCCAACTTAAGGCATCTGGTCACTCATCAGTTATAAAGAGTAAGTAAAACAGAGAAACCAAGATAGCGAAATAGGTAAACACCTGAACTTTGCTGCCTCGTACAACAGCTTCTAAACTACAATTAAAAGACAAAACAGACGTCATCCAGAACCACAGAAAGGCTCGCTGAGTGGAAATTCTGCAACTAGAAGGAAAGAGAAAAGCACACTGCGACTCAGAGGAGCTGTGGAAGTAAAGTGCAGAAGTACAGAGGCACACATGCGTGGGAAGGGCTGGCAGCTGAGTAGGCGGCTATCTTTTTCTATTGGGAGGGAGACACAAGCTCCCGCCTGCTCTGAACTCCAGATCCAGGCGAGATTCTGGGGACCCAGACTCATACAGGAAGAAACTGGACTGTCTGGCATTTGGTGGAACTTGAGGGTGGCTTTCTCTCAGAGGTACTTTCAGTGATTACTGCGGGACACTGAGACCCTGAGGCTTCTTAGGGCAGGGCTGATGGGAAGCCATTGCTATTTGTTCCACCCTTAGACTTCACCCCATCCAAGCTATGTGCAGATGTCTTTGCATATGATTGGCCTGGTCCTTTGAAGTCTAAAATTACCTAACAAACTGCAGCTGAGTCAGAGAGACCCAGAACATCGGAAATAAGGCCCAGGGCCCCACAATAGCTTGCATTGCTTTGCAGCTGGGCCTCATCTGGGCACCTCCAAAACACAAACAAAGAAGAGGAATCTGCAGATCTTTCCATAGCTCCTGCAGGGTGTTCTCAGGCAGAAGCTAAATTAGCACCTCCTAAGAGATCTAAAATTCAGTGTACCCATGGGTCAGAGTAGGACCATCCAGGTTACAACACTCAGGGGGCAGACTCAGTGAGCACCAAGGCTTGCCTCATAAGGGTGTCTCCAGCACAGAAGTTCTCCCATCGTAGGCACAGCTGATCTTCAGCCAATTGGCCTGGAGGTCAATTCCTCCCAGTGATACCAACAACAAAGAAGGCTTAACTACAACAAGACTGTGGGCACACAGCCCACAAAGGGGTGCACCAAGAGTGTCCACCTCAGGTAACGGGAGGCTGAGCCACTGGGCCCTATAAGACACCTAGCACACAAACCATTCTATCATCAACTCAGGGAAGCAGCCAAAATGTGGAGACAAAGAAACAGGTCACAAATGACAGAAATGGAGGAAAGCAAACTACTAGATATAGAGTTCAAAACCACTGTTATAAGGTTTTTCAAGAATTTCGTGAGACCCTTGAGGATATAAAAAAGGACCAACTAGAAATTAAGCATACATTGACTAAAATAAAAAATAATATACAGAGATCCAATAGCAGACTAGAGGATCGCAAAAATCCTGTCAAAGATTTGAAATACAAAGAAGCAAAAAACATCCAACCGGTAAAGCAAAAAGCAAAAAGAATCTAAAATAAAATATGAAGATAGTTTAAGAGCCGCTGGGACAACTTCAAGTGTACCAACATCAGAATTATGGGAGTGCCAGAAGGAGAGAGAGCAAAATACTGAAAACCTATTTGAAGAAATGATGATTGAAAACTTGTGAAAGAAATAGACTTATAAGCTCAGGAAGTGTAGAGAACTCCAAACAAAAAGAATCCAAAGAGGACCCCACCAATACACATCATAATTAAAATGCCAAGAACAAAAGACAGAGAATATTAAAAGGAGCAAGAGAAAAACAGTTACCTCCAAGGGAACACCCA